ATATGCTGCCTTATAGACCATCTTAGTATAGACCTCTTGATATAGCTTTATTGAGCTTCAACAATCTACCGCTAACCCTAATAGAGCTTTTTTATTATAAACTGTAAAAGCAATCAATCGAATACTGAAAAGGAACTAATCCTCTTTCCAATTGTTATCACTGTGCCTATACGCCACTCCGCTATTCAATAGAACTATCGTTCCGGTTGCTCCTTTCGAGTAGCCTAATAGCCGAATCCTCCGCTCCTATAGAGTATTATTATATACATACCTGCTTCTTTGAAACAATATATCTATATACATTACTCCTGCCTATATAGTTTTATAGCAAAAGTAATTGTATAATCAAAGCGCTCCTCTCTACGAGTAGTAAGAAGCGCTAGGAATATAGGGCTAATCAAACGACTCTATTTGCAAACATTACACTAGCTTGTTTAGGATATATAAAAGGAACTGGGTTTACCCTATAAGGTTTTATTAGTGTACACATCAGCGCCTTTTTGTATTTGTAACTCTAGATCTAGCCATATCTTCCATACCCCTAGGAAGGTCCCCTACAAGACGTTAATCACTATAAATAAATAAATAAATAAATTAGATTTATTAGATTTATTAGATTTATTAGATTTATTAGATTTATTAGATTTATTAGATTTATTAGATTATTAAATAATGATTCTATATTTCAATTTCCTTTTTAATTCTTATATAGATTTTATACAAAACTCCATGCAGTGGAGATTTATATAACATATATATATATATTCCGGGTATCGTAATATACCACGATATATATGTCTAGACATACAATAAAAGGTCCTCTGTTCTTACGTTATATTATAGGCAGTAGCTATATATACTAGAAGTATACCACGGTACGTATCCCTAGATATACAACAAACAAGGACTGAAAAGTTCACATATCGTATATAACAGACATACGTACTAGAGATATACCACGGTATGTATGCTTAGATATACAACAAAAAGATATTTATGCTCATATTGTAGATATGTGTAATAGGCTAAACGTACGCATTGTAAACGCACCATGGTACGTATCCCTAGATATGCAACAGAAACTTGCCTATTATTGTATTGTATTGTAGATATACGTAATAGACTAGACGTATGTATTGTAAACGTACCACAGTGCGTATCCTAAGACATGCAACAGAGGCTTCCCGCCAACGCTCATTCGATTGTACAACCTCGCCCTAGTTCAAAATGGATAGCGATGAGATGAGAGAATGGGCGTCTGGAGTATGAAAGAAACTTGTTGAATGGTGGGAAATAACGGAAGATGTATGTATGATTATATATATCTATAGGAAGATAACTAAGACAAGATGATAGAGGTCCAAAAAATCGACTGGAAAGAGAAACATTTCCTGTTCTGGAACTTGGAAGTACGATTTAGAAGAAACGAGATTATAGAAACAGAAAATTGTGATAGAGAAATGAAAAGTGTATAACTGGTATTTGTATTGACACTGGAGAATATAGGGTGATGGTAAATTTCTACCGCTGTCTAAGCGATGCATGAATGTGAACTTTCGGAAAAGTATGTGACGGATTGATATAGAGAACTTGACGCAAAGATTCAGTATAATGAGCTGATGGGTTGATGATTTCTCTGTGGGCTTGTGGTCTGAGGAGCTTTGCAACGAAGAGAAAGATATCGAGTAATGGATATAAGGACAGGAGGTAGGGAAGGTTTGAAGCCTCCGGATGAAGGATAAATTGCAATGAAGGGGAAGGTACTAAGCATTTAGTAAGCAGTGAGGCTGAAAAGGTAGAGGGATACATCATGTCTATCATACTATTGAAGTGCATCATGAATATAGATGAAAAAACAGGCAAACGCGGAAAACACAAATACTTGAGAAAAAGGTGGTGGACCCGAGCTTAGGGATCGACGATAGTATGATTCGTGCAAGAAAACCAGCAACATACAGTGGAAATAAACCCACCTCGACACAGAGATGCCGCAAAGATCGGTGTACATTTGCATGTTGGTGGCGCTCTGCGTAGAAGATATAAAAGTCCACATATGTTTCGTGCTTGTGAATACTACCACGTGCGAAAAGCATTTGGGAATAGGCAACTGTGGATTATGATTATTCCGAAATCTCATAGTTAGTTGTTGAATCTGACTACCCATAGATATGATAGTTATATCGAATCGTTTTTCGGCTATTCATTCTGACAGCCGGAAAAGCAAGACTTGTTCCCAGAGTGTTGGTTTCGCGATTGAAAACTTCATGCGATATCGACACCGAAAGCGAGTATCCTAGATGCATATGTGTGTAATGCATCAGCTTACTAACCAGTGTGATATCAATCTGGACCCGAATGTAAGGGAGATGATATTGGCGAGTGATAATACGACGTTGTTATGACCCTTGGGAATGTATTAAGCTTTGAGATTATGGAGTGGAAAAGTTTGACAGTTACAATACAATGCATTGCATTGACTGTAGCCTAAAGTAAAAAAGCGAGCGATGTTTAGTTATCATTGGATGCGGTGATACAGTATTGAAAATTGAAACAATTCCAATGTTGGTGTTGGTTCTGTGATGGAACCATATTTGAAAGAGTCGGTATGCATACCTCCCAAGGGCTAGGTACATAAGACGGTGACGAGAGTACGAGGGTACACCACATCTGAAAGCTGACAACATCTCAAGTGGGTAAATGATGCGACGATGGTGAAACGATGTTGATGATTGATAGATGTGATGACCTACTAAGTTTCAGTATGATTGACATGCATGACGGGACATTGCTTGGGGACGAGGGAGACGAGGGAGGGTATCTCGTAAGGTTTGCTTTTTTGATGCACGATTGAGGCGTGATGGTGATTTCTTGGAAATAGGCAGCATCAATTGAATATATATGTACCAGTGTTATGGGAGCAGTCAGCTGTGATCCAAATTGGGAATAAGACGCGGAAGAAGAGTGGATAGGGATCATGTGATAGGTTATCCGAATGAAGAGATTCTACAAGCCGGATATGTAAGAGGTACCGACTAGGTAGTCACCTGGTGTATGTATGTGTTTATGTATATGTATATGACTATCTGGAAGATAGATGATGATGGTAGTGATAGTGAAGACAGATATAATAAATGATTATATTGAATTATTTCCATATTGTATTGTAGACATATTACCTATACTACCCAGACATACTACCCAGACATTTGTACCTCGAAACAACATGCAAAGCCAAGTAAGAAAACGTAAGCTGAGATGCTCGTAATCATAATCATTGCGCGTAACCACGTGGTTTAATTTTTGTCGTGCATTTGTTTTTCCGGTCTTTGCATTTCGCCTTCCGTAGGCTCCAGTATTTTGATGCTTTGGCTTTGACTTTGGCTTTGGCTTTGATATTCTTTTTATTGATTTGCTTGGTGGTGGAAAGCTGGACGAGAAGAATGGAGATTGTGGATGTACGAAAGAATCGAAAGAGGAGGGGGGAAGGAACAGGAGTAGAAAGGGAATAGGAATCGAAAGTCAATGTGATAATATATATATACCTATATATAATTATATATGGAGCATAGTAAGCATGTGAAATTGAAGAAGGAGAATATCTAGAGAAAGTACCTACCTACCCACTACCCACCTACCCACCACCCAGTAAGTAGAAAAAGATCGACGAATGGAAAATCCGGGGAAAGAAAGTTATTCTTTCTATTACTAGGTAGGTACTGTACTCCCACCCATTGTTATCAGCTCACGTGAAATCGAGACATTCCCAGGTTCACCTCAAACAATCTTCACACCCAGGTAGGTACAGCTCATGGGTTCTCAACTTCTCAGCTTGTATGCCAATAGATCGCCAAGATAGCCTCGACCTCGACCTCGACCTTGACCTCGACTTTACTCGACGGGAGACATTCATCAATCTCCAGCTGATGGTTTTTGCATATTCTCACGTGCGACATGAGTCTTCTTATCTTGAGATTCACCATGTGAATTCCTTTATACGCGACCTGTTTAACATACTGAGTAGGTAGGTATTACTAGGTAATTCTTGGCTAGTTTCTCCATCCATTTTACATGTACTCAATGACTTGTATATAAACCACATCTATCTCGTAATCTCGTGATCTTATATCGATTAAAATATTCAGAACATTCTCTTCCAACAAAACAAAACGAATCCGATTTTCCTTTTCCTTGTCCATTTCCTTTTCCTTTCCCTTTTCCTTTCCTTTTCCGCCCTACACCATCATCCCCAGCCAATACCCGCCAAAGTCCTCCTTCCACTCTCTCCACCTTTGCCGCATCTTTGGCATCTTGTGCATCTTTTGACATAATGCGTATTACATAATCACCCTCCACCAATCATCGTCGATATCTTCATTCCAGGCAACAATATTTGGGACGGCGAAGATCTGTAGGCATCCGAATTCAATCAAATTCTCTCTCCCAAATGATAGAAATGAGGGAGAAGGGGTGACATGATTCATCAACACTGACTGGAATTCACACACACGGAAAGAACCTTGGAGAATGGATGAAGTTACTAGGTTACCAGTTTACTCCCTTTACATCTTATCATCCATCTAACCTGATCCATTGATTCGATCTGGATGCTTTACTTTTTCCTTCTTTTGGCTTCACATATACAATCATACCATACCATAATACCTTTTAATTCTCTTGCTCCTTCTTCTACGAGTATACCATCTTCTTCTATATCATTTTAATTCATATCTTCTCAAACTTGAGGGGCTGCTTGTTGGTACTCCACTTTCTATCGCTGTTTATCCATTACCGCCGTCTTGGATGATCGGAACAACTCAAAAAACCCACAATCACAATCACAACTACAATCATAACCATAGCCATAATCACAACCACCACCATAACCACTACCACAACCATCACCACACCCACACCCACACCTACACCTCCAATCATTCTCACTACACGACGTTATCCAGTGTAGACACTAGGTACACAATACAATATCCATTTCGCCCATCATGGATCAATACTTCCCAAATCCGATGCCTCTCCAAAGGAGGTTAACCAAAATCTATACCGATACCAAAAATATTTATGATTTCATCAAAGAGCCCGTCAGAAACGTCGAAGACCATGAACTTCAATCATTACATCGAAAATTACGCATTCAACAAAGTCGTTTGGTCTCGTGGGGATTGGAATGGTCGGATCCTTCACAGTCACCTGATATCGATGAATCAGTATCCAAAGCTGGATTGTCTGAAATTGTCGGAAATGTCATGTCAACGATCAAGGAAATCTTGGCCGAAGCTGAACCATTATGGCAATCGTCCAAAAGGTTGACATCGGACGAGAGGCCATCGGAAAAATCGGAAAAGAGTGCTCTGATTCAATGGGATAAAACGAGGTTTGAGGATTTGATTCGAGATTTAACCATGTCTATTGATACGTTATATGATCTATCAAAAACACGTCAATCAGCAAGGACTGGTCTACAGACCTCGGAAGCATCAAGCTCCAAAGACAACTCTTCAGGATTCGAAGAAAGACAATTCGAATCAACGAGAATGTCAGCACCACAGCAAATAGACCCAGCAACATTGATCTGGACAGGAAATCAAATCATTGCTACTCGTGGTACCTCGAGGTCAATATCAAACAACACATTGAGACAGATAGTTTTGATGAGGAGATCGGTCAATTCTTCGGATTTGAGGCAAGCCATTGATCAACCTCCTGATCCGATTCCGGTCTTGGTCGAATATGCCCCGTATGATCCTATCTATTCGGTTACCGGAATCACTCCATCTATGACTCGATTCGAGAAACTTTTTGCTGGACTCTCACAGGCTTATTATTCATCAGATCGATTACTCGTCGGTTTACTTCGTCTCATTGGATATTACGAAGATGCAGAGCATTCGAGATTTTGTCTATTATTTGCTTTACCCACAAATTTTGGACCAATGGACATTCAAAGCCCAACTTTACAGATGCCCATAATAAGCTCCTTGTCTGAGCTTTTGATCAGTCCTGCATTCGAACCCAACCTAGAGGTCAAGTACAGGTTGGCCTACAACATAGCCAATGCTGTGTTTGATCTACACTCAAAAGGCATTGTTCATGGCAATCTACTTCCTTCCAATGTTCTCTTCATTGAACATCCTACCCCACCACGCGCTTTTGATTTGACCCAGGTCAATATGCGGCAATCATATCTAGGCTCCTATGATTTATTTTCGGATACAGCTACGGACTCCGGTCCAAGTTTTGACTCTGCTAGTATGTTGTACAAGCATCCCCTGGATCCGAGGAGTACCAAATATACCAATCTATCTCAAGAAAGTAAATCCTTGGATTTATACAGTCTTGCGATGATTCTTCTCGAAATTGGTCTATGGAGTTCTTTATCCGAACTTTTTCCAAGGGCATCCCAAGTCCCTTCAAACCCTACTGAAGTTCTCAAACGTCTCGCATCTAGATGTGGAAATATCTATGTCAAAGCAGTGAAAGCGTGTTTGAGTGCTCCTGAAGGAGAACTTTCACGAAAAGCAAGACCAGATGTTATGCATCAAAAAGTCTTTTGGCGTGTATCGAAAGCACTCAATACTTGTTGTTCACTTGACGATGTTTCGGATGATGATAGTGAAAGAAGTGATGAGCCATCACTCGTACCTACACCTGTAAAGATTGAAGTCCCATCTTCTTCTATCAAGGGATATCGTGAACGAAGAGATGCAAAGATTGATATTACTGCTCCTCAAGAACCAGAAATCAATTGGGGCGAGAAACCGATCCGTGAAAAATCGCCTCAAAAAGCTACTGTTGAGTGGCCAGAAAAGAAATCTTCTGGTGAGTTGATACCCGTTCAAGGGCCCTTTTATGTAATTTCTCGTCTAACTACTCCGTCTCAGCCATTGAACCTATCAAGTCGAAACCCAAGCTCAAGACGTTCCCCGCTATTCGGATTAGTCAGGAGCATATCAATTTGTGGCATACAAATATTATGCCACACGTCAACCACGTGCTTCGAAGTTTTTATAAAAAATATCCCGAATCAGTCGAAATCTCTCTCGAATCAGTTGGTGAATCGTCTACGAAAACGAAACCTACCATTCTCGTCATATGTACAAGTGTCAATAAGGTTCGAAGTATATTGAAGAAGAGTCTTGTTTATGACAAAGCTACATATGGCTTGAAAGTTTGTCGTGGAAAGGTTGTAAGAGCGAGAAATGGTGGTGTAAAGAGAAGCATGGCACATGGTGATGAGCTTGAAGCGAAGAATACTGAACATCAAGAACGTCCCAAGAATGGTGCTAGTATGGGGGCATATATCAATGATCATCATCTTCCACCTGTTTCCTTTGGAGGTCTCGTTACAGTTGATGACAGACCTTATGGAATGTCTGTTCATCATATGTTAGATGATCCTTCTGACAACGATGAAGAAGAACAAGTTCAACCATCAAAACCAATTCTCCGCTCTTCAGCTCGCCCTCAAGCCCTTCCTCAGTACCTTGAAATGCCAGATTTAACACACTCGGATACATCTTACTACTCGAGCGGTGATGAAGAATACAATTACAGTTTTACAGATTATTCATCTTCTGGCTCATCATTCGATTCCGACTCATCTCCTTATGCCTCAGAGGATGAAGATGATTCCGATGGCGAATTCCCTACTCTTGAACCAGGAGATATTCCTCCTATTCCGGTCTCTTCATCAAACGTTCACAATTATCCAATCACTCAACCAGCTATCGATGACATTGATCCTGATTTTTATCCTGATCCCGAAACTAGAGATGAGGATCATTTAGATTCATGCTTGCTGGGCAGTGTTTATACAAGTTCCGGAATCCGTCGATTAGCTCATGAAAATATAACTCATGAAATTGATTGGTGTCTTTTCGAATTTGAAGAACATCGTCTACCAGATCTTTCTTCCTCAATGTCTCTAACAACACAACCGACAGGCGTAGTACCTTTAACAGATCTTCCAGATCTACCAGTGAAATGTACAGCTAGAACAAGTGGTACGCAAACTGGACGGATACTTCCTTCAATGTCTATTCTCAAAATTTTTGGTCGGAAAACTCCATCTATGAGTTGGCAAGTCGCGGGTAAAATTGGGGTTCCAGGTGATAGTGGAGCATGGGTTTTAGAACGAGGAGATGATATCAGTACAGGACCAGGCAATAGTAGTGGAAGAATTGCTGGTAGTGTATTAGCATGGAGTCAACGCAGAAACGTCGGATACATTTGTCCCATGTGGATTAGTGTCTTGGATATGGCAAATTCTTTGAATTGTGAAAATATTGGATTGCCAGGTGTTGAGATACCTATTTGGAGTAAGGTTTCTGCAAGAAGGGAAAGAGACACTATCTCGCCTGTTCTTAAGAAAGCCTTTAGTTTTACGAGTGACAGGAATATTGGTGGTTGGGATAGTGAAGACGAAACACATAATTTGGGAGACAGTAAACCTCAAAGTGGAAGTTATCCAGTGGTCATCGATGATGATCTTGCGGATGATGAAGATGAATTATCGGGAGTTTTAGGAAATGTAAAACATGTGGGATCGGATCATGAGTTTGAATATGCAGATCATGATGAGTATGATGATGATGATGAATCTTATGATGAGGAAGAAGAGAGGGAATATTGGAGTCGCTTCAAAGCCGCAAGTGTTAGTCCGGAACGGGTAAAGGGAAAAGATGCAAATGATGAGCATGAATATCGACATGAGCTGGCGGGTGACGAGCATCAATGTCGACATGAGTTTGCGAATCATGAGCATCAATATCGAAATGAGTTTGCAAATGAATACGATCCAAATCCTCAAGGGATTGAATATCAACATTCGCATGAAAAAGAAGTTTTGATCTCAAGCGAAGAAGAACCAGAACTTTTAGCTACACTCGGTCAACCTTCACGAAGAGGAAGAGGATTTGGAGTCAGAACTTTTAGTGGTGATAAGAGTTTGGAAATCGATATGATGGTAGGAGGACTCAAAGGTCTGAATATTGATGGGAATACAATGCCAGGGGAAAATACAGTCTTTAGTATGGATGGAAGTGCGATTGGAGATTTTACGGTTGGTGGAGCGGGAGAATTTGATGTGGGGGGAAGTGGACAGAGGAGGGAAACGAGGAGTAGGGGAAGTGGGAGTGCGCATTCGGGAACGGGGAGTTTGGGAAGTTTGAATGGGATGGTGCAGGGCGGTGGGAATCGGCAACGGGTTGGGGTTAGGAGTTAGGTTTTGGGTTTTGGGTTCGGGTTCTGAGTGTGGGGTATTATTATGACTTTAATGGGTTTGTTCAAGTAGGATTCAAAGTGGGATTCAAATTGGTATTGAAATTGGGATTAGCATCAATTGGGAAGCAGGATTGGGATTAAAATATCTATGTGCATGCATGTATTGGGGAATTATATCGATATACCAGGATTTTGAATGGGTTCTTGAGAACTGTCAATGGGAATTTTTGAGTCTGCGAGGGAAAAAATAAAATGAAATGAGATGAGATGGAGTTTCTTGTATATATTTATTTTTTGAGTATCATTATAATCTCTCAAAGGTCGAGAACCTATATGAGATTACGAATCGAGAATTGAATTTAATCTATTGATTCTGTGTTTCTCCCATCTTATTGTAGTCTAGAAGTGAAACGCCCATGTGAAATGGAGTTGTGCAATTTGATTTTGATTTTGATTTTGATTTGAACCTGTATACCTAGTAATCGCAATCTTTCCTATAATGAATGAGATGGGATGGGATGGAATAGTACCTAGGTAGGTAGTGTGAGGAAGAAGGTTCGATGAGGTGTGGATAAGTAGATCGATCCACTCCCCACTACTAACCAGCCCAGCATCATATCATCGGAGCCCCAACCCTTTTTTTATTTTTTTCCTTCGAAAATTTCTTCCAAAAAAAATTCCCCCTCCCCCTCCCTCACCTCTCCTCCTCATCCACACAGATTCATCTAGTGTTATATATAAACCCAAATATTATTCATGTATATAAATAAATATTAAAGCCGCCCGGCTAGCTCAATCGGTAGAGCGTGTGACTCTTATACATCGAGAGATGAGATGAGATGACTCAAATCACAAGGTTGGGGGTTCGACCCCCCCGTTGGGCTCACTTCCCTTCAGAGGTTTTTTTTTTTGGATTTTTTTTTTGGATTTTTTGGGGGGGAGAGGGGGGAGGGGTGAGAGAGGGGAAGAGAGGGAGGGAGGGGAATAGGTGGAAATGTAAATAAACTATAGAGGTACCTAAGTAGTAAATAAAAAGTAGTTAGAGGAAAGACCATACATACATGGGAAATGTAAGATAATCATATATATTTTTGAGATATATGTCACTTATCTTCTCTCCCTTCCTCTCCTCTGCTTCTCTATCCCCCTCTCCCCCACGCCGTTCCATCTACTTCCACCCCTCCCCATTTCTCTCATCCACAAGTCCCGGCACAACCACAGAATTTGTCTTCCCAGCCACACAATTGTAGTTCGCATCGAAATTATCAATAATAAACATAATCGACCCCACCGTTCCAATCGCTCCTTTCAGTAATCCACCCAGAGACGGATCCACCTCCTGCAAAATCTCAGATGTGACGATTTGGAAGGAGAGCTTTGTGACGTTCGTTCCTGTACTGGGGAATGTGCATCTTTCAGCCGCGTAGAAAAAAAAAGAGAAGATTAACATGTGTCTTTGTGCGTAAAAAGTCGGAGAGAAAGAGGAAATTCGCCAACTCCCAACCCATCATATCCACCACCCGCAACGTCCTCATATGTCGACCCATCCGTTTTGAATGCCATGACTTGTACCGTACATATAGACCCGAGGCTCACGCCCGTCGTGGTACTGATATAGCATGCAAAACTTGCATGATAGGCTTTGAAAAAAGCAACAGGAGAAGCGAGATAGATAGATGTGATAGTGGAGCCATTGAAACCGACGACAGCTTGCTGACCGTATATCTGCTGCAGGAAAGCAGCAGCGCCAGTTTTTATAATGGCGCGCCAGATACCGCAGTAGATGAGTTGTTTATAGAAAGTTAGGGGGACGCTGCTGGTGAGTTGGGATATCGCCGATGGGAATGCTTTCGTACTAGACGGGAGATAGTGCTAGGAATGTGTGGGAATGTATTTTATGAGAGCAGGCATTTTGAAAGAGCGGCATACATCATTGAGAACTTCTCCGGAAGTTCTGGCTATCAATTCGGTGTCTGATCGGGGAGTGACTGCAGAGGTACATTGACCTATTGCTTCTGAATTGACTTTTCCGGATATACATTTATATGTGGAGGTGAAATCGTCGACGAAGAGACTGATCGTTCCAATGCTGGCACCTGGATTTCCAAGGAGATTCCCGAGACTGTTACCTACTGTTTATAGAATTGTGGAGGTAATGATGTTGAATTGCAATTTGCCAACGTTTGGCCAGGAAGTTGGAAATTTACATTGTTGCACCACTGTAATAATATGGATAGATGAAATCAAAGGAATATACAAAGAAAAATAAAAACAATTAAAGGTAATATACTTTTTTTTACTAATTATAGATATTTATGATCATTATATATTCATTGTTAATCAGAGTCAGCTTCTCATTTAGACTAAAATTACTACTCTTATTGTTTTGTGAATCAAACTCACTATATGCTCATGACCGGGCTACGATGATTAGTTTCAAATCATTACACATAGAAATCAGATAGTAATCGAGTAGGAATAAATCATGTAAACCGAAAACCATTTAATATCCCTCTACGTTCTACACCACAGTCTGGATTTAACGGATAGCTATGAATAATACTGAGATGTCAAATGTCTATTTACTGAGACCCAGCATTATATTCTTCATTATATCCTTCATTGAATGCATCGCTGAACCTTTGAAAAGCCTGAAAGGGTGAATTCAACGTGGTTTGAAAGAGTGACGGTGGATCTTCCTGGGGCAGAGTATTATCTCTTTCATTGAACTCATCGCTGAACCCTTGAAGCGCCTGAAAGTGTAGATCCAATGTGGTTTGAAAGAGTGACGGTGGATTCTCCTGGAACCCAGTATTATATCCTTCATTATATCCTTCATTGAATCCATCGCTGAACCCTTGAAGAGCCTGAAAGGGTAGATCCAATGTGGTTTGAAAGAGTGACGGTGGATGTTCCTGGGGCAGAGTATTATCTCTTTCATTGAACTCATCGCTGAACCCTTGAAGCGCCTGAAAGGGTAAATTCAATATGTTTTGAACAAGCGAGGCCAGACTTTCCTCAAAGTTTTGCTGCTGGTATTGAGGTTGGGGCATAAATTGTTCCTGCTGCTGAACCTGGAATTCTGGGTTGCAGGGCTGTGCCATAACAGGCTGCGCATTATGAACCATAGTAAAATACTCTGGTGGGACAATGCACTGCTGTTCCACTTGTTCTGATACTCCCTGTTCGCACCTGAGATCCAGATCCTCTTCATCACTCGACTGTGAGCTCATGTCGTCTTCATCAGAGCTACTGTCATCGTCTTCGTTGTCGCCATCTTCTTCTTCTTCATCTTCTTCATCATCTTCGTTCTCATCATCTTCGTCATCAAGATAATTGAAGCTCCACATAATATTTTCTCGCTTGGGGTCTGTCATTTTCATGATCGCAACTGCCGTGTCAATGCCATATCCATCCTTGAGAGCTTTCCACTTGGATTTTTGCATGTTTTCAACATCTTTACTTTTATCGGCGTTTTCAGACCAATGGTGAATCAAGCAATCCATAGACCTGATTATCACGGGAGCACCAGGTGGTAGAATCTTCTGACAAAGATTTATAACAACTTCGAGCTCCCTTTCCCCCTCACAACCACCCTGACATTCTTTCTGCAAACAGATTTCACCAAGGAGAACCGCAGCCTGAATGGTAAGCGGATGGCTAGCACTAGTGGCATCTTTCAGACCTCTCTTAGCCTCCCGAATTAATTCTTCGGGGTTATCTTCAGAACCTTCCCACTCGATTTCGTGCTGTTGAAGATTCAATAGTAGCTCTGCCCATCGCAACATGGCTTCCCACTGCTCTACTGAATCGTGTCGCTTTATTGCATTACCATTATCCACGTTGTCTTTGTTCAACTCGTTCAAATCAAAATCACAGAAATGTTGATATGCCTCCAGGATTAATTTTTTCGCCGGAAACTTCTTCTGTTGTCTGAATAAATCACCCTTTTTGAGCTTTACGCGGAACACATCATGCTTCATGTCGTCGCGCCCGCAATCTTTTAGGTGAGTCAGTGCTTGGTTGTAGTACTTTTCCGCAAGCTCCTCGTAGTCTGGGCCTCCAAGAACTGCACAGGTTTCAGCTAGATCGATTAACACTGACGTGATATCTTTGTGAAAATTTTTCTTTTTTATGTCTTCCTTGTATCCAGAGTACGCCGTCAGAAATGACTCTTTTGCTTGTGTGAATTTGCAGCTTTGATAGCAGACAGTCCCAAGTTTGTGGGCTGCAGTCGAAGTATAGCGGTGATTTATTCCGTATCGCTTCCGGTATCCTTGGTATGCTTGATCGTAAAATTCTCGAGCTTTTTCCATCTGCCCAAGAGCAAGATGAAGCGTACCAAGAGTCTGACAAGTCCGCAATGTCCGGGTCGCATATTCTCCTAAGACCTCTTTAAATCCCTTGAAGACAGCACTGAATTCGGCAATAGCATTTTCAAACTCTATCTGTGCCTCGTCGTGCTTGTCCACCGACGTCAGGAAATCTCCGTTTGTCTGGAGTGTCTTTGTGAGAGTGTTTGAGCACTTAACGTATGATAGACTGGTGGGTCCTTCTAGCTCTGAAACAATATCACGAACACTCCCTCTGAGGCTCTTGGCTTCCTCGTAGAGCTTTTTCTCTTCGTAGAGGGAAGCATAAAACGAAGCTAGATCTGCTTCATCCAGATTGCTCTTCTCACCAAACAAACCTTTCTCTTTAGCCAAGTTCAGAGTGTACTCACAAATTTTGCTGGCCTCATCTATATTGTTTGTCTCTCCGGTCGCACGGAGAGCTCGGGCAACGCTCAAGTTTGCTTCCATCAGTAGATGCCAATCTGGGTCTGATCCTACTATCTCCGTCTGGTTGGCCACGATGACGGACACTGCAAGTTTGAGGGCCTTATCTGCATCAACCTTGTCGCGCTCTAGATAGCTTTTACACAGAGCCAAGGTGGTTGAATAATAAAGCTCGCTGCCTTCTGGTCTTCCGGCTGGATTCAATTTCAAAGCTTCGTTAAACTTATCGCGAGCGTGGTCATATCGATCTTGTTCCATGTATGTCTGGCCAAGGTGGTATTTTGTCAAAGCAAGGAGGACATGATGATCTTGAAAAGCCGCCAAAGAATCATGTGTGTTGAATCCTTGAATATACGGCTGAGCCTGAATTTCCAAGCCTGATAATACTTGGTTGAGGTGCATCTCAGCTTGCTTGTATTTGGATTGAAGATTGTAATTCGCTCCTAAATGCAGTCGAATAACGAGAAGTAGCGGGTGATGCTTTTTGAGGATGGAGCTTAGTCTCTTTAAAGCTCGCTGGTAGACTGCGGCGACGGTTTCATCACGCTTTTTTTTCGAGATGGTATTCTGAGTTCTCCTATCTGGCCATCGTGGTTTAAATCCTTCAAAATCCTCAATCGAGTCACCGAAATTTCTTAGGGCCCTTTTACATTGTTCGCTGGCTGTCTTGAAATCATAGCGACTGGCCGCCAAAGCGATCATCTCAGCGATGGCGTTGAGCTCTAGTTGAAACCACTTGGTTGATTTTCGCTCGTCACCCCGTCGATCCTGGATCTCTTTGCTCAGATCATTCACAGTCTTGCCTGGATCATCTGTGGTCAGCTTTGTCTTGTCTTTTTGTTTGTCCGCCATAGGATTTGAAGTTGGTGGCTGCCCTCGTGTTGGTTCTCTACGTTTATTGTTGATTTCCACTGACCAGTAGCTCCCATTGCGCTCGCATACTTCCAATATTTGTGCGAAGAGACCTTCAGCAACTTGAGTGTATTTGCTGTGGCTGGCGAGTCGATTGCTCGAAGGAATTCGTTGCACGGCCATGAAAGACTGTCCCAAGGCGAGCTGAATGTCTCGATATGGGAGGCTACTCTTCACTTCTTCACGCTTTGCCCAATCTCCTTCAAGAACAAAGGCATAGGTTGCGATAGCTCTTTCAAATAACTTATTTTCCGCGTAGACATCCCCCAAAAGCGTAAGACCACGAGCCAGCTTTTTGTCGTTGCGATCTTGCTGGACCTTATCTTTTGTTACAGTTTGATCCACCGAGAAATTGACGATAGCTGGATCGATCATTACATTATTTTTGACCAGAACTTTGGTGGCACTTCTATTGTTAGTTTCCAAAGCTTTGATAAGAGCCTCAGGGCTTAAATCGGCGGGATATGATTCTTGTGTAGCCGAGTCATTGGCCAATCAAGTGGATAGGTCCACCGTACCTCCCCTGAACCACTCACCAAAGCGATTCGCAGACTCAGACATCTTTCCAATCGAAGACTCTTCCGAATTGTCCTTCATTACCATCTCGTCTTTATCAAACATGGATTTATCATTTATTGATGATAAGTACTCCAAAACCTTCCAAGGATTCAACTCTCGATCTCCTTTCTCCTGGCCGCCTAACTGGATATTCTGTGTGGTCCACAGCCATTTCGTCTCTTCGTCATGTCTCACTATAACAGTACCGACATAGCGACATTTGATTGTTGGACCATCTTTCAGTATAGCCAACGGGACGACAAGCAGGGCTTTAGTACGAGTGAACGAGCCCGGTGGCATAAGGAGAATATGCTTATCCCACTCTTCTAGAGCAAGCTGAACTCTGAGGGTTGCAGCAAGGTCATTACCGTAAGGCTCCATGATATCATACTCCACAACTACCCGAGAGTCCCACAGCCCCCAAACCGCGCCGGAGTCATCAATCTCTAGCATAGATCCGAGTGTATCATCAGTGGATCGGGAACCCCTATAAAATTCTACGGGAAGATCATCCAGGGTTGCAGGACTCCAGGAATAGCCGCCGCTATCATTCATCGTTGGCTTGCCATGAAGAAGGCTTGCAGAAGGAATTTTACCCAGATATCGTAGTATATCTCTTGTAATTTCACTTTCACCCTTGGAAAGATCGGGGTCAGGTACGCCGGCAAGAAGACTGGCGATAATTGTGCGGTCCCGCACCCATGATGTACTGCGAGTGGAGAGAATCGTGACCAGGTCTCCAACGTTATCAATCGGTCTCCGGAGTCGTTGGATCAGGGAGGTTGCCAGCCAGTGAGCTCTGGACGAAGCGCGCGGACTGTGCGCCAAAATGTCTTGGTCTAGATCCTTGACTATGTGCTTTCCAGTTTTGGCATCCTTAAACAAGACCTTGACACTTTTCGACATAGCCAATTCCAGCGTGGTCCATCCACGCGTGAACCAAGTAGAAAGAACTAACGCAAGACACGGACCTCCATCATCGCTCCATGGAAAGTTCAGTAAAACCCGATCATGAACAACTGTGTAGCTTGCATTGGCATAATTGCTGTGCATGACGCTCAAGGCCTTACTCCGGGCCTTGGGGTCATACGGGATTGATAATGCATCCCACCAGATTCCCTTGCACTTTAAGTCAGTCGCAATACTGGCGAAGTATTTGAAGAGACAAGAATTGACAGATCCAGCATCTTTTACTCCAACACCAGTTCCATCAGACCAAACGTGTGAGAGCGCAATGTATGGATCGCTGTTAGAGCAAAGTCGGTGCATCTCGTTGGACATATCCTGTCCCTTTCCCGGGATTTTTTCTTGAGTTCCTTGACAAAGCCATGCAGTACTTTTGCCTAGCTCAAGATTGGGCAGGAGTAGTTCTACTGGAAACAGCTTTTGCACGCAATTGATGGGTCCCGCAGTGTCATTTTGAGAGTTATCGTATGTTTCGACGCATTTATGAAGCTGAACGACCTTGGTACTGTCCATTTGAGCTTCCTGACACTTGCTTGGTGCACATTTCTTATGACCTTCGTGGGAAATATACTCCTTATGACGAATAATAGCGGCGACTATATCTGGAAGATCTCCGTGTTTTCGATCGCTGACGTTAACCAGGTTCCACAAACGATTCTTGCAGAGTGAAAGATCTCCAACGCTTCGAGCCGCTTCCGGTACCGTCCTGGCAGTGTAACGAAATGGGAGGAAATCATGCCCCCACTTGCTGAAATCTGCAGATCCAGTGCCCAGTTGTGACTGGATTCCCGCCATCCAATAGATGATATTGAAAACCCCCGAAAGCTCAATGTAACAAGGTAAATCGTTGCCTTGGCCGTCTAAGAAAGGCGTAATGTATTTTTCCTTGTCCCTGAATTTTTTGAGGATGGCAAAACAACTAGTGACGGATTTAGCAAGATGGGTATGGGCTCGTGACCTGTTCTGTTGATCATTCATCGCAGCCTGGCATGACATAGCTACTAGAGCCCATTCTCTAAATTTGGCCCAGTTGCAATCCGGTGCCCACTTGGCCATGGCCTCTGTCGTCTCCTTGCACTTCTTCGTTTTACAGTTGTGCAACTTGGAACGAACACAAACCTGCGCGAGTTACGAGAGGAATCCCATTTTGTGGTGGTCTAAGTGTAGTCTCGAACGAGCACCCCACATATGAGCGCGTAGAATGCTATTTGGACATTCATCATGCTCTTCGACATTTGTTCCACTCTCACACAGAAGGCGATCATCGAAACGCACATTGAAGAGGACGATTGGAGGACCGCCTTCTTCATCATTGTCTTCTGCATCATTTTCCGCGTTGTCGCCTTCTTCGTCCTCTTCACCATCATCAACAGCATCGTCGTCACCTTCTTCATCGTCGTTGTTGTTTTCCTCGTTACCGTTGGTGTCATTCATATCTTTACCCTCCTCAGCCTCTTCATCATAATCTTCGGATCCGGTGTCAGAAAACATGTCCTCGGAATCGGAAGAATTTTCATCGGAGGAGCCGTCATCAGGCTCCCAAATACCATGTAGCCTGAAAGCTTCTGGGATACTGGCAATTATCGACTGGAGCTTGACATCATCCATTCCCGTGGCAGGAGTTGGATCATCCATACTAGATCTGCTACAAAAATATAGGTGAGATATCAGACACTGGTTCGAGACCCGGCCAGGTAACCTTGTTTTGTTCTAAAGAGAAAAAAAGAGAAAAAAAAAAGAAAACGGATTTCTTTCTTGTATTCTTGGATTTATGAAAATCAATGAACTTTTTTTTAACATACTTATCATCATCTAGATCCTCGATATATATTGAGGCTCTGTGAAAATGTTCGAACTGAAACCCCATGAAAATACTCAAAGCATCTTTGGGCAAATCAAAAGTCGCCACAATTCGTCGCTGCGGCTGAATCAAAAGGTCACACTGGCCCCTGGAGCTGAATTGTACGGCAAAGCTGAGTTGTTGCATTTACATGGAAACAGTAACATTACCTGGGGACAAATATCCTATATCCTATAAAAAGCTACAAACTTTTCTGGATGTATTTGATGCCACCTAAACTTTTGTTAACGAAAACGGTATTGGCCTGGATAAGTATTGATCGGTTCTGTATAGCTGCCCAAGCTGACTGCCCCACACTACTCGAGTACATCGCTTCGCTACAGTCACATTGCCAATTAACCCACTCATTTTTTCACATTTGTTTGTCTTAAACGTGCCAAAACGACTAAAATCAGGGTTAATTATTAGCCTTTTTAACAGAGAAATCGCGAACGATCACATCGAGAGGTCTTTGTCGCAGCCATATATTGAACCCAATTTCGTGTTTTTCCGGTCTCTCTACTTTTGCCAGTCAGGAATGCCTCTTCACCCAGTCATGTCTCCAATCATGAAAGCGTGGGTGAACCTCCGATCTGTGAATATCACGAATCCTACCACAACAGCCGATTATTTCGCATCGCAGTGGGTAGATCCGAGTGATATCTTCTCTGTTCTCCTCTTGTTAGGGCCAGAGATCGTTCAGCAAGCTGTCGCTCAGCTGGCAGGGCGCACAATCACCCCGGTTGCTTTCTCCTTTGGATGGGTGGCATACTCCGCGAAAGCCTTACTTTCGATGATTGGAGGTAAGCAGATAATCCGCCCAACCTCTTCTCCGCCAGTTCTTCCTCTCTTAGCCGCTCACAACTACTTGACATAGACGGACGACTGATGCCCGAGACCGACATGCTTAATACGCTAGTTATTGGTGCAGACAGTAAACATGTCCGGACCGCAAGTTCATGGATCTTAGGTCGCTTGCTACGCGACCTGGACGATCGATACGATAAGGAGATGGAAGGTGAGGAGTCTCATGTTCCACCCTCGCAATCTGTCTCGGCCCGTCCGGGATTCACCGAAAAGGAAAAGGGCATCAGCCACCAGCAGGGGAAGCCATGGGAAGCCCTGCAAATCTCGGTCTATCAAGTTATCAATCAAGATGGGCACAATCATGGCGTTCCACATTGCGATTGGGTATGGTACTCGGGATTTGTGGTCATCCTCGGGCAGCTAGTCATTGCTATGCTACCATGGGTGCTGTATGGGCAGTGGGGTACATTTCTTATCACTGCCTATGGGAACTTTCTAGCCCTGTTGAGCGGCTCGCTTCCACAATGGCGGAAAGAGAAATGGTCATGTCCTCGAGACGGGGGGGGCCACAGTCACCCTCACCCAAGGCAATGGCAGCCGCCACGCAGTTGTAATCTTAGGTGAAAAAAAGGGTGGGTTGGATCTGGAAATCCTGGCTCGGGGAACTCGCACGTCTGCCCCTTCACGCGTCACCCGCCTCGCTGTCGCACTTCTAGCAATTCAATGGATTGGGCTACTGATCACAGCAGATGGATTGGTGATTGATACCTGGTGTAAGTTACTGCTGCGAGGAGGATTTCTTGAGCACACGCTATGTTTTTCGACCTAGCTAATCTCTAGCTAGATCTACTGGGCATCGGAGCCTTGGGGAGTATTCAGAATGTGATCGCTGCGGGAGCTCGCCGATCCCCAAGTGCATTGGGAGTTCACATTCGCGATATCGGTCAGCCAATCCGAGGCAACCGTGTAGCAGATGTGCTAAAAGCCGCTGAGCGGCAGTATCCTGGCCTGGGCATGAGCTTAGTCCCTATTTTCTTTCCAGGTTCCATGCGAGTCCAGCCCTCTGAGTTTGACTTCTGGCGAGCAGCAAATGAGCGTCAAATGGGGCCCAATAGATTCGGGTCACGCATTGATAACCTCCCACCCCAATCATCCACCATACAGGTGGTGGCCGACGTCCCCGAACATGACTTGATCAATACTGAAGAGAAAGACATCTGAGACTGGTGCATTTTGATTGTTAGCCTCAATGGTGGTTCCCATGCTCCAGCCGTTACTTGCTTAATCTGTTGCACCATCCTGTACCAACCACATAAACATTTCACATCTTGATATATTTAGCTGCATGCTCATTTATTGATGTTTGATTTTACGATATGTGACTTTGTGATATGAGTGATGTATCTTCAGCCCATTTGTATACTATACATTATTTATCTATCCACTTAGATAGCTGTATCATTATCTGCTAATATGTGAACGTTTATGCACAACTCTAAAGATGTTAGTGTATGAAAGGAAACATTTTGTTGATCTCAATTTTTTTCTTTGAATCTACTTATACCAGCGAGTCTCTATACTTGTCGAAAGATATCTGTTAGAGTAGATAATAGCAATGAATCAACTAGGTGTAATGTAGCACAAAGACTTTTCAATAATTCTCCTAAGCTATGAAAATTCTACATTTTATAATTGTGCGCGGGCTGGCGTCGGTCCGAAGTAGGTCCGTAGGACCAACTCACGTGCCTCCGAAAGCCCTACGCAGCTTGACCGTGACAATATCAGAGTATACAACTAGGTGATATAGACAAAATGAAACTTGAAACTATAATCTACATATTAATCAATAACTAATAAATATCAGCTACATCTTGAGTTCTCTAAGTTACTGTTTCTAATATAAAGATAGTATAGTTTAGTTCTTAACTAACTTATCTATAAAATAATTATGGTTTTTAATAAATATTAATTAAATCACTTAATATTATTATAATATTCAGAGAACTATTTGTAATAGTAAAATTCTATTATTATAACAAAATAAGAAGAAATTCAAGATTAAAAGAAAAAATTCATGTATTCTTTATATTCTGTATGTAAGGATGAATACTATTGTAATATAAAATAAATAATTCACTATTGAGAGTAGTTCATGATCGCATGCAACTGAAATGCATTTGATGTTCAGCTGGTTAAAGAAAGCTATGAAGTTGGCGCTTGTGGATGAGGAAAATTATGAGCTAAGACAATTACACGTGACCGTCGCGAACCTCATCTCTTGATTATCTATCGTATATTATTGTTATTGATACAATTGTTCAGAAAAATGGATGCTTGCCTCGAATACTATTGTGAACATTGAACCCCACAGCTCTAGTTGCTGACATGAGACTCTAGGAGCGTCTGACCTCCTGAATTCTCGGCACCGACCGTGATGTCTCGTAGGTGATAACAGATTGATTGCGTCTCTACCATGATTTACACCTTTCGCACATTGTGCAAATAATCTCCTGGGTTCTATTCATCTTTCCGCATATCTTTTTGATTAGATATGAAATATCAAAGTTTGCTCAACTTCTGAATGCGGGGTGGATGGTTATCTCCAAATCTAAATGGCTCATTGGTTGAAACCCAAAATGGCATATCTGAGCTTCATTATCGGAAATAGAAATGTAACAATGAATGTCCGAGAAATTTTTGGAAAGATGAGCATGTATAGTGGTGGAAATAAGCCGCAGACATAACCCTTAAGCCAAAGGGAAATTGGCATAAAAGAGCATTATCGATATTCTAACATCTCATTCATCGGGTTTGGAGCTTTGAAGCCACTGATTGAAATGGCATCTTCACGATATTCGGTGAAGCTTCACATTCATGCTCAGTAAGTTTCAAAATTGGTGGCGAAGGACGGAAGACACCAATGGAGAAGGAAAGCGATACGTGTTGGCTAATTTGGGTAGAGCATAAACGCACCTCAACCTCAATGATAGAGATAAAATTCTTCGCATCAGTTGTAAGAATACTGCTCACAAATTTAAGTTTGATCGAAATCTCAGCCATCAAAGCACTGATTTCCAAAGTCAGCTTTAGAAAAATCGATTGAAGATCATGCTTTCAATTTAGGGAATGATTAAGACCTCTACAACCCATATTGACCCAATTGTACTGCAAGTTCAACATCGGAACGATTTCGATAAGTGGATTGCTTCAAACATGGATACAAAGCAACAATTAGAGTCAACCTTAGAATCATGGCAAATTCCGATGTTCACGAAATCTCAGTAAATTGGGAATCTAACTCCGATCGAACGTGGATTCAAACCAATTCTTGGTGGCTAAGAGGCTATGCAAGTGTGGTCTTCTAGGAACAGAATATATGATCACGTGTATAACCTTATAGTTTTGAGCTAGAGCTTGAGCCGTCATTTTGCAAGAGTTTTAGCATTTCACGCTAAATTCTTTTCATATGAAAAAACATCTTCATCGCACTACTTTCTTCAAACGTTCAGTTCACACAATCTCGAATCTCGAAAAAAGATCCATCATTTACTTCGAAATCATTCAACCCCTTTTCACTGCAATAAAGAATCGTTCGTCTAAGGAAAGAAGTTAGTTACTCTGAAAGATACTCACCAATACTACAATCTGATATTAACAATTCAAAATGCAGCCATCATTATCAAAGTTACCTCGACCAGCATTCGCCCATTGTTCGGACACAACTCAAGGCGCCAATCAAGCTCTTATCTTCTTCGCCCATCATAATAATTTCACCGAATTTCCCGAAGGAATCAACTGTATCGCAAGCAAACCGATGGAGACGACAGACGACCAATATAATGTTGGTGCATGGGCAATGATGTCTCTTCTCCTCTTAATATTCGTATCGATTCTTCTCAGTCGTAATACCGTCATCATATCTGAGTCCTGGTCAGATTCCGAAGATGACTTGTTGGTAACGGAAGAAGAGAGTGTCCCATTACTGGCGCAGGAGGAGAAAAGTGTTTAGGGTATTCTTGGGATAAGTTATTCAAAATCAGGATTGAGCGAATATTTCCGGTATTTAGGAATTAGGAGTAAATGAATTATATATAATCAATACATTTTGGTCCTGTAATGTTATTTGCCCACTGTGGTTCAATAGGTTTTCTTCTACACACATGTCTCTTTTCTTATCGCAAATTCGTGTGTGATCATTTACTCCGTATCATTGAGCTTAGCGTGTCGACTAAGAAACACTAGATTGTCTAGCGAGCTAACTAGCGAACTAGATAGGGGACAAAAGGATTGACGTTGGCATCTGCATCGTTCTTGCCCATGATAACGATTAATAAATATGCGATCTCAAACTTAGCGTTGACAATTCAAGGAAAGTGTAGTAACCTTTGTGAACACTGCGAAAGACTTTTTTTCTGTAAATAGTACTCTCAATCTCTCGCCGTACACCCTTACACCAACCAACACCCCACAGCAATACACACTATTTTATATAGGAAATTCCCAAGTCTAAAAAATAACGATAAGTTTTCATCAATATGGTAAGTGTCCTTTCGATTCCGGGTGTGTCAGAAGCAGTATGTCGAAAAGTCTGAACTGAAGTACCATGGAGATGAATTGAGTCAATAGCATCATTCAAGTTCAATAGTTTATTGAATCGACTAATTTGACTTGATTATCAAATGTTAATATCCCTCTCCGATAGGTACCAGTTCAATATTACTTCAACTATACTCTTCCATCGAACTCCTCCAGCCTCTTAAGCTCCACTACCAGTGAGGAACGGCAAAAGTCTGACGAGATACTGTACGACAAAAGGCAATACTTGAGATGGATCATGATACTATACACCCTCAAACTTCTTCTCTCTGTAATCAGTTATGTTTTTTGATTCGCAAAAATCGCAAAGAAAGAATGAACAAGATGCTGCAGCGGCCAATTCGAGACTTACAAGAGAAGATGGAATCTGGACTTACAGAAAATAGCTCTCTTGGATCGCACTTAGATACCATTGAGGGAGTTACATGGGACGATAGAGAAAAAGAGTTTTCATAGACAGTTTTCCCAGAAGATTTGATATAGATGATCCTACACAGGGACATTCAGACAAGTTAAAGATTCATAGCGATTTGGGCATTCGAGCAATTCAGAACTAAGACTTCAACAGCAAATTACAATTTGTTATTTCACAACTGGGTCGGGTACTATTTTGATCAATCTCTTGATGTCATGATTAACAAGTTGTATGAGCCTGTGAGATACCGAAATTGTGTGAAGTGTATGTGCACTAAAATATTGAAGATCTTTTGTTCTTCCAGCACTCATGATTGGTAATATTAGGAAATTTCTGGCTGACATCAGGTTTTGTGATTTGAGCTACGTTATATACTCTTTTCTAGTTTAACTTTGAGATCTGGAACACGGATTGGAAGTGACATTTAAAAGCTAAAATGAAAAACCTTAAGCCAAGCCTAAGACTGAGACCCAAAAATAGACTATTGATAATAAACTTCGCACGATGTAAAATTAAAAAGTGCATATACTACATATATTCCCCTAGCCCTTTGTACTTGCTTCATTGTACTGTCCTTCTGCCGTATCTAATTTAGTCATCCAGCCAGTTCCGAACAACACTATCATCATCATACTTCGAGGTTCTCTCAAACCTTAAAAGTTCAAAATCTCTACATCACAAATAGATTTCACATCAACCTATTCAATAGCAACTACACATTTATTAACCTACTCGACCGTCAGAATGTCACCAACTCATTACGAAACGGCGAACCTTATCAGATCTATATACACAACAAGCGTATACCCGCAACCAAATATCACATCCTACGAATCCAATGGCACATCAACACATCTTGAAACAGCAGAACCCTCTAGTGAGAACACAGTTCACACAACCCCAACGATGACCAGGCTCGCGCTCATCTTGGTCTTGATTATCACACTCTCTGCATTTATCTGGTATCGTTACCATAAGACATGGGCCGCGTTGCACAAAAAATATAGGGAAGCGAAGGAAGCGAAAGAGGCGAAGAAAGCTATGCAAGCAAAGGAAACTACAGAATTGGAGAAAGCAGTGGAAGAATCGAGAACGAGTACTTCTAAAGGCAAAGATTCTGCTCCAGTCATATGTATTAGTGTCTCGGTATCAACTTTTGATACCTCGATTTAAGCGTTCAGTTTTTTCACTTTTCAAGTGTACGGATATCGAAAAGACATTAGCGGTCAATCCTTTTGCACGAAGCACGTAATCACGTAATAACAATCGAATGAATAATCACCTCAAACTCGACGTGTCAAAGTATCTCACAGTGATCTTCATGTTAGTGTGATAAAACTAAGGTAAATGCCAAAATGGTGATTGTAACTAGTTGCTTGAAATGTCGCCGAAACAAGGTCGAGGTGGTTTAAAATCAACGACGCTGATTTAGCGTCATTCTCGCCCACAAACATGTTTTTTCAATAATTCTCATTCTTCATCTGTACATACATACATCACATAATTTTCGACAAGATATCACATTCATCAAATCTTACATCAAGACAACAGCACGACAACATTCCTCACAAGAAGTAATTTGTTGACTTTGATAATTGATTTGAACTTCGCTCCTTCTCGACTTTCGAAAACTGGTGACATAATACCTTGAGGGTTAAGTTACAGCCAGTAATCAGATTTTCTCGCAATATTATCTTATTTTTCAGTTGGTATGTCATTTCGATATTCCCAGCATTCCTCAATATACTGATTTATAAAAGACAATCTTAATTAAGACGGCTATCTATCTTGATCAGCTCGCTACCGAATTAATAATGTCACAAACTTCGGATCATGATCTTCATTACAGTGAAGGAGATACAAACGAGAGCATCGAGAGAGATAACTCCGATGGTTCTCTACGCTGTCCACTCTTCGTACAGGATACCACTGATTTGATCGATGAAGATGGGAATACGTGGGTCGGTTGGGTTGATGATGAAGAATGGGAGAAAGAACAGATAGCCCGTCGAAATGCTCTTCGGACCTCTCGCTTTGCTAGTTCGCTAGCCGCTCTCTTCGAGTCTTCCAAGGATACTCCAATAGTAACAGATACTCTGGTTGCCATGTCGTCTGAGACAGCGACCGCCGATATAGCTTCAGTGCCATCGACTAGCATTTTAACATCTATAATTGTTCCTTTCACCGAGGAAAACTTTCCTTCACAAGCTGTATTGGATCCAGAGCCAGATACTTTTAATCCAGTGGCCTCTAGTGTTGAGGAACATCCGCGTCCTTTGTCAGAGATATTTTTCTTTGGGGGCTATAACTACAATATTGCGGTCGAGGACCATCACTATAATCTTGAAGACGAGGATGAAGATGATAATGATGAAGAGAGTGATAGTGACGACGACAGCAACGACGACAGCGACAACCACAGCGATGATAGTCTCGATAGTGATACTGAGAATGGGGACCAGGATGATAATGGAGACGAGTGTAATCTTCATTCCGAGCCCGGAGATAATGAGGAAAGTCTAAACACGGACAAAGTAGAGGCTACTCCTCGTATTCCTCTAAACAATACACTCGCCATTGCTTTCAATCAGGGGCCTGTTGAGCAATTTACTGATACTGTATAGGTCTTGATCGGTAAAATACTATTCGCTATCGGTGTTTGTGTGTGGTTGATAGTTCCAGAAAAGTTAAAAGATACATTAAAAGCTCGTTATGCTGATTATCTCGCTTCTGGAACTGGCAGTCCGAGCACGGTCGTTGAGCAGGAGGCTCATTCAGAAGAGGACAAGAATCAAAATACCTCAGAGAATGATGCGGCTGTTCCTCATGATGGACATGGTATGGACTATTTGGATTATCTGGAGTGTATGGAGTCTCCGGACTATATAAATTACCTAGATTGTATGGACTATCCAGACTATGTAAACTACCTGGATTATCTAGACGACGTGGATGATGATTCATTCCAGGAGTGGGAAGAGGGAATCTCCAGTTTTGCTAAAACAGTATTAGCTAAACTTCAGCCTCGGACATTTCATATTCTATTTGAAATGAATGCTCCTGGTCAGGACTTTTGCAGATGTAGAAAGGCCCACAAGGGTCATGGTAACGTTTTGGTTCTTCTACCTGTAGATGATGACGGAGAAGATGGAGAAGAAGATAAAGATGACGATGACGATGATGACGATGACGACGATGATGAAGATGGGGATGATAAAGATGAAGATGATAAAGATGATGATCATGGGGATGATGAAGAAGATGATGGGGATGATGAAGACGAAGGAAGAGTATCATGGGTAGTAGAAAACTATGAAGATGACAACGAAGATGCTGGTAGAGGCGAAGAAGAATACAAAGACGACTACGACGAAGAAGCCGAAGAAGAAGAAGCAGAACAAGACCAATCCCTCGCAGCCAGATTCCACCGTATCGTAATCAAGGCATGGGACTACCTAATCGAAAAGCTCGGATCGGAATGGGCACTCGCGAACCGGAGCACCTGTTACCGCTACATCAACAAAATCTGGCGGCGATGGGTCGTCCACGCGAGAATTAACAGAGGAAGGGGAAATATCTGGGGAGTAGAGATTCCGTATCCGCGGGCGAGAGTTTTTGTTTTCATTGAAAAATGTCCGCGGGATCTAAGGATTTCTAAATATTCGTGGAGACGATCTGGTGGGAGATTTGAGGGTTTCATCTTTTGTTTTATAGAGGTTGAGAGAGAGTTTTTGGATGATTATGTACTATTGGGGGGGGTTTTTTTTTGGTATTTTGTTGTACGGAGAATAGGAGTTTGGGGATTATCACATATACATTACCCTTCACAGCTTGTATTTATCATCATCTACTGTTCTTTCAATCCGCAAGTTAGAACATGATAGGATAGAAAAAGAACACGAATCATCAGAAGATATAAAATAAAAGTAAAAATTGAATCAGACAAGATGAGACATGACAAGATAAGAGTAAAAAAGACATTCGATTGTCATTTCTCTTCCATTGAGAAGATTTACTATCCTAAATGTACTCTAGCTAGGTAGCTATAGTCGTCAAGAGATATATCTTCTTTTGATTTCATAATCTTGATACAATAGTCATTACAATGAAAGCCTGCGGGTATCTACAACATCTTCCAAAGCTCCCTAATAAGAACATTGAATTATGTCTACTTGAAAATCACCCCTTCCTCATAAGAAAACCACTACACACATACCTAAACACACACACACACGCACATACAATCCCCATGAATACATATCACATCTCATCTCATCCATCACAAACCCCAACCCACCAACCCTCCAAAATCCACCATCCAAACACCCAAGAAACCTCATAAACATGTGATCGATCATTCAAGCACCGAGACAGTATGAAAAAAGAAAGAAAGAAAGGATAGATAAACAAACAAACGGGAAGAATCAATCACAAACTCCATCGGCTTGCTAGAGAATAATAATTTAGAATCGAATATAAAATCAAATATAGAATCGAATATAGGAGAGAGAGAGAAGAAAGAAGTAAGATAGATGATGATGTACTCTAGTTCCTCTCTTTCAATGCCAATTTCAATTTCAATTTCAATTCCAATTTCAAGACTTATGATAATGAAACATAATTACCAGCAGTGTCAATTATCAGCCAGGGAAAAAAACACTCTGCCATATTAGATTTCCATACCATTCCAAAACTCCATTCCTATACCTTTCCCAATCTACCTCCAGCTCCGAATTTTTTAAAGAAAAAAAACATCCAAATTGCCAATCCCCCAACCATCATTTGTGGAAAAAAAAATCTCTTGCAAAGAAGGATAATATCTAGCTCATACATGCTACCACAATTCTGCATACATACTAATATGAATTCAAATATCAAAGGACCCAAAAAACCCCTCGTACAATTTCCCAAGCCCTTAATAAAATCTTCACAATCCTCTTCCGAAAACCCTTCACATGTGTTTCAGAGCCACGATTACTCTCTCCAGGTTCTGAAAGCAGGGCCCCGCTAAAATGTACCCTCGTGCTCAGATAACGTATCAGGGATATCTAGCATCCTTGGAAACTTTATTTGACATTTAATATGGAACCGCTGTGCTCGCGTTCAACCAGTAAGTAGTGTAGTGTAGAGCTATGAGATCGATATTTCCTCGCTTCCACGAACTGAGATCAACATAACATAAATCCCAACACGATTGGAGCGGAGGCATCTCCTCACAACTCATCCAATTTCTCCCTCCCAATCGGCGTCTTCAATTCAGCATTTCGCATGCGACATGACGAAGTATGCGCAAACCAAACCCTCCGAGCAGAGAATGAAAGAGAAAAACACATCCCCTAATAAAATTGGGGAAAGTGCAAAGCAAGAAAAGCTAGCAGTAAAGAGCTCGCATAGTGTGGTATCGAATATCTCGAGCTACATCTGAGCCCACTTTCGCAATATGAATTATTGGAGCGGAAAGGATAGTTTTCATGTCCCTCAGGGGCAACAATATATTTGAAAAGTGTCCCGTGCCGTGATAAGTGCATATATGGGCATAAAAACGGGTAGGGCTTATTCACTTCCTTGTGCCCATTGCATACGCGATGGGTGAAGTTAACTCACTTGATACATGATCGCACATAACGTACGATGGATAAATGACAGGGTACGCTAAAGTTAAATCGGCTCTCCAAGAACCTTCCAACTCTGATAATCTATTTTTCGATATATCAATTTCGAATTGTCCAATGAAATGATCAGGATATTTTCAGGATCCTCCAACACTTTTTGAACTCCTGATTAGATCTCGAGAATCAAAGATTCTCTCCGTCTTGTGTTGTAGTATGCGATTCATTTCATTCGTCCCGTGCATATGTATCTAAGTCTTCTAACGCATTCATACACCACTAAGGCACGTCGCGAAAACTGATTCAGAGCTGGGGGCAAAAGACGATCATGCTCTCTAGCGTGGCCCTTGCTATCGGCCCCGACATTGCATGAACACCATGGAGTAACGCACAGCGTAACTACTAAGTACACTGTGGAGAGGGGAAAAAACGGAAGCTAGTTGAGAAATCGTGGGAAAGCAAAACGAAGTCGCATCAGAACGAAGTCGCATCAAAACACTATCTACTCTCTTCATCGTTTTGCCCATCCAGTAAAATCCACCGACTAAATGCAGTTACATTTGGACTGGGTATTGCAAAGGAGGGGCAAATAGTTGAGGGGCAAAATACATGTTAATTCCTCATCATTATTAACATCTGAAAGAAGGGCCCGAAAATATGATAATCATCCGCCCATGCATTTCCCCGTACATGCATATAGCACGGACCATACCACGTGTGAAATTTGACGTTGGGCACGAATAATAAGGAAGAGGTTGGGTGGATTCAGTGGGTTGAGGGAAGAAAAGCATGGGAAAGATTTTTTTTTTCTATGGGGATGGGATTTTATATTTTGTTGAGCTAAGCCGGAAGGATGGCCCGGGGTACTTTTACATATAGAGTCAAGAGCTGATGGGATATTTTCTTGGAAATGAATCACGCAACGGATCAATATGTGTACCGGGCGTTCCCGATTTTGGGCATGAAAATATATAAAGGGAGGATTGTGAATGAGTGGAATAGCTAATAGTATGAGGGAATCCGGGGTTCAGGCTGAGTATCCACCCCGGGGAATATAAGAAAGAAGGAACAAGTCGGAGAGACATTTCTTCAAAGGGCTGGGATTAACGATATTCATCATGAAATAACCTTGGAAGTTGTATCGTAGAAAAGAAAAAGTCTTGTGAGGGGCAAGGCTACTCGGTACGATGTACATATGCAAGGCTTTGATTCGTATCACATTTGATTACGCATGGTCGGCGATAATTCGCCTTTATTTGTATGGATAGAGTGAGAGCCTCACTAGAAGTCCAAGTCTAAGCCATGCTGGAAATGATTTGTTTCAGAAATCCCGATTAGGAAGTTTGTGGTACTCTTGATGTTGTGTGTATTTGGTTAAACGGCGATACATGAGAGTCAACGCATCCATATGTCAAGAAGAGTACAAAGAGTAAAGCCCGAGATGAGATGACTGCACGTGGATTTCACGTGTCAACTAAGACAAAAGACAGCGCAGATCGATCGACATTATCATGTGATGCCTATCTTCACCAAAAACTCATCCTTAAATATCGACTTCTGCACTGCATCAAACGTATGCATCAAGTCCTTTAGCCCCCAAAAGGGTAAATGGATGCGTTGCGCCACCGATGCAAAAGTCTCGTTTTGGTACACATTACACATTACGCATCAAAACCCTTGCAGCCTTCTAAGACGGGAAGAAAGGATGAAGAATGAGGCGACGCGGGGAGAGCGAAATATATCACAAACCTTGGAATGGATTGCCAATACTCGTACACGCAAAATGGAATCATTCGCGATTAATCATCTGGAGTAGGAAGAATGGTGAAGGAGAAAGAAAAATCAAAACTCATGAATGTGCGACCTAATTCTTCAAATATAATTTCCATATACTTCTTGAACATTCTCCATTGCTTATGAAAATGGTCAGAAGGATAAATTTGCAAGTTTTGAATGGGTATAAAGTCTCAGTGTAACATTGGATGGACATTTCTTGGGACGAGTGACTTTTTTTGAGTCAGAATTGTGGGGATATACTTATCCCCTCATCTATAGGCAGAGAGGGTGCCAGTATGTATTCCTTTCCCGAATAGGAAATCAGGAAGTCCAATAAATGATATATGATGAGGTGACTCCAAGGTAAATAATGTATGTACAGACATGTAGGCAGCTAAGCACGGGAAGGATGGGTGAATGCAGGTCTACGGCGTTGAGATCCCTTTCTTCAAAAGGTTGAATTGAATGCAAAAACGATGGGACACATGATATCGAGCAAGCAAAAGACAAAGCAATCCAATACCTAGGCAACTGAGAAACGCGCAGGAATAAAAGGCAATTGTGGCTTAGAGTAAACTATTGCAAAGTGCGAACCAAACGGCAGTGCAGTGTAAAGAAGCGGTGAGGCATGGGAAAATTGAGGGTGTAGTGGGGTGAGATATCATTCATCGACGTGAAATGTTGCGGCTTGAACTTTTATTTTAGTTTCAGAGTTGATTGAGATAATCTATTATCCGTTCGACTCTTCGAAGAGTCTTTGACGTAAAAATGGTTCTTCTAGATGCAATAGTCTGACGCTTAATTGATCTTCTATAGTTTGAGCTTGTGAAGACGAGAGAATAACATTGTCTTGTGATAGCGAGTGGAAGATGGTAGGATGGAGGAGGGGTAAGTCTCAGCCTTGTATACAAGTCGCGCAAGGGAAAGAAAAGATGGCGAAGAACTTTGAGATGGAGGGTTGAGATGGAGGAACTTTGAGAGGAGGGAAGGAAATGATCTGCTGTATAGATAAGATGCACAATAAACTGTGGTGCAGAAATGCTACCACTAGATAGCGAATCTGCTCTTGTCCCGTCTTCTATCTCGTTTTCATCTACCGTACAGGAGGATTTAAAGGCTTTGACGCAATCAATTTATGCCTCTGACTCGAATCGGTACTTGGGTACGTACAGTACAATACATGCATCGAGTACGACAGCGGGTGTTACCTGTCAGATTTTTCGGTTTTGTACATGGAAATCAAGGTGATGTGAGCATGTGCCCCCGATCTTGCTTGTGTGTCCTCTACCTTCGGTCGGAAAAGACGACCGAAAGGGATTCAAGCTAGGTAGGCGAGGGTAGTAGCATCCCTTTTGCAGTAGATTACAGTAGTGCCGAAAATCGAGTACTGTGTATGGGGATTAGTAAAATCATTGCATTTAATGCATAATGGTGCGCCTCGAGCCGATGCTCTAATTGGTGAATTGTTTACTCCGGCTTTGAGAGTGAGAATCCTTCCAGAGGAAAAGAAAAGGATGTTCGAAGAGTCATCAGGAATAA